GCTGACTGGCTGGATTTTGAGGGTAATCAACATTTTTGAAATTCAAACCACAAATCTGTTTATTTTACGAATATTTTATTCCTACAGCGGTGTAGGTCTGGGTTAAATAAAAAATGTCTCATTTGTGGTTTGGTTGCATAAACCCCTCCTTCCCTAAAAAGTTATTTTAGGGAACTGGATTTTATGTGGCTTATACAGGGTTGGTAGTAGGCCATTTGTGCTGATTCTCTCAACTAACTAACGTTACCTTGTGGAAGGGAGGGGAGGCTGCTGAAGTACAAATCTAGAAAGATATTAAAATAGAATAGAGATCTAAGAGAGTTCCATAGTACATTTAGAATGCCTAGAAAGTACCATATGTAGCACATTGCACCAGTTCTGGTTAAACTGACAGCTTGGTGAAATGCAAGGGAGTTTTAGGTGAAAATTTTTCAGAAATGCCATCCTTGTTCTTATGTCCAGAACAATGGAAAACAAATATATCTCATATGTTAAAAACCTGAAAGGTTTAAGAAATAGAGCAGTTTTAGGATACTATTTCACTTTAGTTCCGTGCATATTTAAGGGGGGGGGGAGAAGCCCTGTGTTTTAACGATCTACTCATCTAAGGGCCAATTCACACTGCCTTTTCTCTTACATGCAAGTGGTCCAGCTCCCTCCTTATCCAAGCACCTGCCCATGCTCACCAAGGCAAAAGTAATGCATGCACCAGTATCCACCAGCACAGTGAACAGTTACTGTGGTTGCCATAGTATTACTATTTCCCAGCCCAGCACAATTGAGAATTGCTGTGAGCTGTATCCATGTACCTCCTTTTCCCACACAGTACATTTCTCCAAGTGATTGTGTGCCCCCAGGCAGTCTGGGACCATCTGCATGTAGGTAAAAAAACCAGTATATGAATAAATCCTAAGATGTTAATATATCTGATTATATATAGAATTTAATGTTTGCAGCAACTATATCTTTAATGTATTCATATTATTATATATTAATCAGTTCTCGGTGAAATATATTTTATCTGGATTTCCTACCCAATTTTAAAACCAGCTTTTGCTAAGCAGAAATGTCAAGTAAATGTTTTGTTCACCGAGCTATTTAATCTATTAGTTACCCCACATTTTCAAAATAATCCATTTTAAAAATGTTTTTAATTAGATTTTTGTTATGGAACATGGAGAGGCAGGCCTCTCACTGGAGTTGGGAAAAAATAGCAGGGAAAAAGTAAAATGGCTTCTTAATGTGAGGAAAGGATTGTGAAATGCAGTATGAAGACATAACATTGGATACGTAGCGTGTTGTGTAATATTTGAACCGCAAGTTGCAAATGCTACTGATATTTATGTGAAACAAACCTAACCTCAAAAACAGGCATCGACTAATTTAAAACTGGCTGTTTGATAAATTATCCAGGATGTCCACATGGTATTTCATCGGGGTTGTAAGAGGTTTTCGGTGTTATATGCATGTTAGTGAAGTTATCTGCAATTTTTTTCCCTTAATGGTTTATTAAAATGGCTTAAATACTCTATAGGGATAAGAGCCAGCATGGTTCAGTGGACTGATATTCATTTACTGACAACCCTGTTAATGGAAACCGTAGTAATTTTGTGCAGTAGCAATATGTTCGTTTTATTGTTTAGTCCCACTGTAGATTATCTACAGTTTGAGTAAATGAATTAACCTTGTTTCTAGTCCCACCGTGCTGATGCAAATATGTGCGTACACTATATGTGTGCATTTTAATTATTTTTCTTTTTATTTTCTGTTGCATTGTTGAAATGAAGCTCAGTTTTTCCATGTCATGGCTTTCAAAATCACTTTTGTTTCCTAAATGCATTTTATAATTGTAAACTGGAATAAGGTACTGTGCTTGCAATCCTGAGAACACTTTCCTGGGAGTAAGCCTCATGGAATAAAACAAGACTTGCTTCTAAGTAGATCTGTTTAGGATTGCTCCCTGTGTTGGGTTAAATTCGACTTAAAAGGCACAGTTCTTGATTAGGTCCAGTCTTTGAAGTTAAGCCTCTGCAGTAACACTCTAATCCTAATTGTAATGTAATGCAATGAATAGTAGAATGTAATGTAATTTGGAATGGTAGACTGGAATGTATTTCTCTGGTCTGGTGACAGAGGAGACATAACGCTGTACAGCCAATCACCCCACCTTAAAGAAAAGAATGCTGTTAGTTACCTCCATGCTTAAAAGGAGACGGATGGGGCATAACAACAGGGTCTAAGTTACCGGTAGTTACTC